GGGGACAGGTCTGGAGACCTCCCAAGTATGTGGGGGGTGATTCCTACACCCCCCAAAGTATGGAGGGGTGACCCCTGGGCCCTCCACAGTGAGGAGGGGAGACCTGAGACCCCCATTGCTGGGTGGGGGGTGAGGCTTGGGGATCTCACAGGTAGGATAGGAGAGGCCTGGAGACATCATAAGTGTGTGGGGGTGGTCCTTAAGCCCCCGTAGCGCGGAGGGGTGGCCCCAGGGACCCCCATGGGGAGGGAGGCCGGACCCTCCATAACGGGGGAGTTGGTGGCCCCCGGGGGGGGGCGGGAAGGGCCGCTGAGCACAGTGGCGGGCGCGGGCGCCCCCTGGCGGCGGCTCCGGGGCACTGCGGGGGAGCGGGCCTTTGCCTCGGGGGCGGGGCCCCTCGGCTGCATTCGGCCCTTTCCGTCAATCTTCGATTTCCGTCAATCCTCGGTCCTTTCCATCAACTTCCGGTCTTTTCGTTCAATTTCCGGTCCATTCCGTCAACTTCCGGTCTTTTCCGTTAGTTTCCGGTCTTTTCCGTTAATTTCCGGTCTTTGCCATTAATTTCCGGCTATTTCCGTCAACTTTCGGTCTTTTCCGTCATTTTCCGGACTTTTCCGTCAATTTCCGGTCTTTTCCGTCAATTTCCGGTCTTTTCCGTCATTTTCCGGACTTTTCCGTCAGTTTCCGGTCTTTTCCGTCAATTTCCGTACTTTTCCGTCAGTTTACGGTCTTTTCCGTCATTTTCCGGACTTTTCCGTCAGTTTCCGGTCTTTTCCGTCAGTTTCCGGACTTTTCCGTCAGTTTACGGTCTTTTCCGTCATTTTCCGGACTTTTCCGTCAATTTCCGGTCTTTTCCGTCAACTTCCGGACTTTTCCGTCAATTTCCGGTCTTTTCCGTCAATTTCCGGTCTTTTCCGTCAATTTCCGGACTTTTCCGTCAGTTTCCGGTCTTTTCCGTCAGTTTACGGTCTTTTCCGTCAACTTTCGGTCTTTTCCGTCAGTTTCCGGACTTTTCCGTCAATTTCCGGACTTTTCCGTCAATTTCCGGTCTTTTCCGTCAGTTTCCGTACTTTTCCGTCAATTTCCGGTCTTTTCCGTCAACTTCCGGACTTTTCCGTCAATTTCCGGTCTTTTCCGTCAGTTTACGGTCTTTTCCGTCAATTTCCGGACTTTTCCGTCAGTTTCCGGTCTTTTCCGTCAGTTTACGGTCTTTTCCGTCAATTTCCGGTCTTTTCCGTCAATTTCCGTACTTTTCCGTCAGTTTACGGTCTTTTCCGTCAATTTCCGGACTTTTCCGTCAGTTTACGGTCTTTTCCGTCAATTTCCGGTCTTTTCCGTCAGTTTACGGTCTTTTCCGTCAATTTCCGGTCCTTTCCGTCCATCTCCGCCCCCGTCCCAGTCGCCCCCCGGTCTCTCCGGTCCCCCGGCGCCATGGCCGGGGGTCGCCGCTCTCCGCCCGGTCCGTGCTGCCCCGGGCAGGGGGCGATGTCCGATCCTTGCTGCTCGGGGCCGGTGGCCGTGCCCAGCGTACACCAGAGCCTGGCCGAGATGGACTTCGAGCGGGGTCCGGTGGGCTCTGGGGGTACCGGCGGGGTGCGCGGAGGTGCCGGTACCGGGAGGGTACAGGGGGGCTCTGGGCAGGAGTACCCGGTACCGGGGGTCCCAGGGCAGCCCCGGAGGTCGGTCCCGGCCTGACCCGGCCCCGCTGCCTGCAGGGATCTGGGCGGCCGCGCGGGACGGGGACGAGCCGCGGGTACTGCGGCTGCTGGAGCGGCGCGGGGACCCCGGAGAGCCCGACCGGGCGGGGTACACGGCACTGGTACGGGGGTCTGGGGGTCCTGGGGGGGCACACGGCCCTGCTGCGGTGGGCACGGGGGATGGCACGGGGGGCTCAACCTGGCGGGTACACGGCCCCGGTATGGGGGTCCCGGGGGTCCCGACCCCCCTGCCCACTCTCTTCCCCCCTCCTTCTCTCAAGCACTACGCCAGCCGTAACGGGCACCTGGGGGTGTGCCGGGTGCTGCTGGAGCGGGGGGCTCCCTGCGACGCCCGGACCCCCGGTGGGGCCACCCCCCTGCACCGCGCCTGCTACTGCGGCCACCTCGCCGTGAGCCGCCTCCTGCTCCAGCACGGGGCCGACCCCGCGGCCACCGACGGCGACGGGCGGACCCCCCTACACAAGGTGGGGAGGCACGGGGGGGAACCTTCTGTCCTTGGCACTGAACAAGGTGGAGGGGTTACAGGATGGGAGGGGGCAAAGAGGGTCCCCCTGTCCCTGGCACTGCACAAGGTCGGTGGGGGGACACGGGGGGAGGGACCCCCTGCGCAAGATGGGGGGAGGATACAGGGGGTCCCCTCTTTCACACAAAGGGGGTGGGCGCACAGGGTCTCCCCTCCCATGGCATGACCTGCACAAGGTGGTTGGGGGGCACAGGAGTGTTCCACCTGCACAAGGTGGGAGCTGGGGGTCCCCTCTTCCCCTCAAGGTGGGTGGGGGGCACGGGGAGCCCCCTTTCTCACCTAAGGTGGGTGGGGAGCCTGGGGGTGGGGGTGTCTCTCTGTCCCTCTGGGGGTCACACAAATGCCCTCCCAGGCAGCCGAGCAGGGGCACCGTGAGCTCTGTGCACTCCTCCTGCGGCTCTGCCCGGCTCTGGCCACACTCCAGGATTCCAGGGGCCGCCTCCCGCGGGATGGGGCCCACCCGGACGTGCGGGACCTGCTGGACACCTGAGGGGACACGGGACACCCGGAGCCACCCCAGTGGGACCTCCAGAGGCGTCTCCAATGGACAAACACAGCCTGTGGCACCAACTCTGTGCCCTTGTCACCTGTGCCAGAGGCCAGGGTGTGGGGGGGGTCACACCAGGAGGGAGGGAGGTCCCCCTCCCGCCTTCCAGGGACTTTGTTTCCTAAAAAACCCACTAAAAATGTGGAAAAGTTTGTTGAAACAGTAAATTCCGCGGGAGGTGGGAGGGCTCCTGTGCTTCCCCCTGGGGTGGTTGGGAGGGAACAGCAGCTGCTCAGGGGATTCTGGGCGGATCCAGATCCCACTGTGGGGGGAGGCAGAGGCAGGAGGGCCGTGGATGGAACCTTGTCCTTCAGTGGTTGGGCACTGATCCCGCTTGTCCAGGATCTCCAACAGCACCTTTTCCTCCCTGACCTCAGAGACGAGTCTCCGCCTTTGTGGGTGCCTAGGTAGGACTTCATGGAATCCTCAAATGGTTTGTGTTGGAAGAAACCTTAAAGCCCATCCAGTCCCACCCCCTGCCACAGGTAGGGACGCCTTCCACTAGATCAGGTTGCTCCAAGCCCCATCCAACCTGGCCTTGGACACTTCCAGGGCTGGGGTGGTGCCAGGTGGTGCCCTCGGGATCCCCCTCCCATCACCAGGCCCCTCGCCCCCCGTGAACCACGGCAGAGACCCACGTACAGATATAGACTTTTATTACCCATCTGGCAAAAAAATCCCTCAAAAAAACCCCAGGAGATAAAATCCCGTGGTTGTTTCACAACCAGGAAGGGGGGGGGGGATTGGGGAGGGGTAGACCCTGCCCTCTCCCCTCCAACCCACTGGGCCCTACCCTCCCCAGACATACAAATCAAACCTGAACAATAAATAGGAATTCCCAGGGGAGGGGTTAGGGGTTTGCATAGAGGAAGATTTAATAAAAAAAAGGGCTTTTTTTTTTGTCCTGGCTTATTATTATTAATTATCATTATTATTATTAATTATTATTATTCTCTCTAAAAATGTCCCCACAGAAGGACCTCTAGGAACTGATCGTCAAGACATGATTAACAAAAATAATTAATTAACCTTCTCCCAATAACTTACAGAGTTCAAATCAGGGAACTTGTGCTTTTCTTAGGGGGGGTCTCCCCCTTTCCCAAAACTAGGAATAAACCCAGAGGGAGGGGGGTCCCGATGGCTTTGGGGGTCCCCCGGTGCCTTGGGGGACACATGACCCCCTCCTGCCTGTACAACTTTGGTCACTAGCGCTGTGTCACCCCAAAAAAACCCACAAAACTGGGATCCTGGTGCATCTCCCCCCGCCCCCGTACCGACCCCTGACCCCCTTCCCCAAGACCCTGAGACCCCCTGTGGTGGGGGGAAGGCACTGAAACCCCCCAAGGGGGACCCCGGACTGCTTGTGGTTGGGGGGTCCCAGGGGGCTCCAAGCCCATCCCCATGTCCCCGGCCAGCAGGAAAGGGGGTTGGGAATGGGGAGGGGGAGAGGCTGCAGCACAACCAGGGGGTCCCTGACACCAAAAACACCCCAGAGGGGCAGGGACCCCCATCCTGGGGGGGCCTGAGGGGCTGGGACCTCCATCTTGGGGGTCCCAATGTGGTGTAGGAATCCCAAGGGCTCAGGACCCCCATCCCAGGAGGGTGTAGAAGTCCTCAGGGATCTGGGATGCCCATCCTGGGAGTACCACAGTGGTGTAGGAGACCCCAAGGGGCTGAGATTTCCATCCTGGGACCCCCCCAAAATGGTGTAGGATTGGAACCCCCATCCCAGGCTGGTGTAGGAGCCCTGAGGGGCCGGGATTCCCATCCCAGGGGATCCCAAAGAGCCGGGATGCCCATCCCAGGGTCCCAACGTGGTGTAGGAGAGCCGAGGGCCCAGGACCCCCATCCCAGGCTGGTGTAGGAAAGGGAACATCCATCCCATGGGTCCCAATAGCACAAGAGCCCTGAGGGGGTGGGATGTCCATCCTGGGGGTCCCAAAGGGTCAGGACACCCATCCTGTGGATCTGAAAGGGCCAGGACATCCCAAGGATCCCAAAGGACCAGCCCATCCATCCCAAGGGTCTTGAAGGGCCAGGATGTCCATTCCGAGGATCCCAAAGGGCAGGAACATCCATCCCCAGGGTCCTACTGTGGCAAACAAGACCCCAATGTCCCTGAGCTGTGTGGGCGGTGCTGGCGGTGCCTTTGGTGCCGCCTCCGCCGCTGCTCCAATCAATCCCAAAAAAACGAGCCAGCCTGGAAACAGCAGCAAATTCCAGCTCCTCCATTCTTCACTGTGCTGTTGTCACTTCTCCTGGCTCATATTCCAGTGGCAGCCAATTCCTGCCGGGATGGGGGTCCCTGCACCGGGCACGCCCCGGGCCCTCCGGAGCGCGCCGGCGCTGGCCGGGGTCAGACGTTGTTGTTCTCCGTGGAACTGTGGTTGCTCCGGCGGCCCTGGCAGTTCCTGTCGTTCAGGAGGCTCGTGGTCTCATCTGCGGGGGCCGAAGGCTCTGGTCTCTCTGGATTGTCGGGGCCCGGTCTGGGGGAGTTGTTGCTGTCAGGGGACTGGGGACAACTGTCCATGCGGGAGGCTGTGAGGCCGTTCAGGTACTCCTGGCGTGTGATCTGGGCCAGGGAAAAAACAGGGATGACGGAGGGATTCCTGGTGTTTCCCTGTTCCCCTTCTCAGTGTTTCCCTGTCCCTGGTGTTTCCTTGTCCCCATCCTGGTGTTTCCCTGTCCTCCTTCCCAGTATTTCCCTGTCCCCATTCCCACTGTTTCCTGTTCCTGGTGTTTCCCTGTCCCCAGTGTTCCCCTGTCCCCATTCCTGCTGATCCTGTCCCCATCCCCACCGTTCTGTGCCCACCTTGACGAACTGGAGGTCGGTCAGTGCCCGGAGGCTGAAATCAGCCACGTACTGGTTCCCAGTCCCGCTGAGCTGGTTGGTGCTGCTGCTCACGGCCGACGAGATGGACTCGGAGCGCTCGTGGTTGCTCAGGGAGGCCGAGCGGGCCAGGCCGCTTCCACGGGATGGGGACCGGAATTCTGGGGGATCAGAGGGGTGGGGTGAGACCCCAGAGCCCCCGGAACTGGGAGGGGACTATGGAGTGCTGGGGAGCGGGCTGGGAGCTCAGCCCAGTCACAAGGGGCCAGGACACACATCCCAGGGCATCCCACAGCTGTCCCAGGGCATCCCAAGGGGGTGTAGGAGACCCAAGGGGTCAGGACACCCATCCTAGGACATCCCAAGGCAGTGCAGGAGCCATCTCATCCATGAGGCTCCCCGTGTGGCTGCTCAAGGACCCCAAAGCTAGGGCAATGGGATTCAGCCCAGGTGTCCCTGAGGACACACTGCCCAACCCAAGGGGCACCAACAGGGCTCAGAGCCTCCGGCATCTCCCACCTGCAGCCCTATCCCAGGGAGCATCCCGAGGGATCAGGGGCTTCTCACCAGATCCAGGAGGGGGGCTGAGGGCCATCACCCCGTAGTAGGTAAACGGTCCCGCCTCAAACTTCATGCACTCCTTGCCAGCCTCCACCTCCACCTTGCCCTGCCAGGCGGAGACATTCCATAATCCACATCCTTAAGGAATGAGACCCCTCCCCTCCCCACAGCATTCCCAGTGGAATGGAGGCCCCCAGGAACCCTCCAAACCTGCAGGATGAGGATGAAGTAGTCAGCAGGCTTGTTCTTGCAGTAGAGGTAGTGCTGGGGGGATTTCTTGTCCTCCTCATTGAACTTAAGCTCCTGGATGACGTCAGAATATCCAAGGAGCCGCAGCAGGATCTTCTCTGACATGAGGGTAGGGCTGAAAAGTGGCACCTCTGGGAGAGGGAAAAGGGGTCACACATGGTTTTTGTCCTTCCAGGGGCAGGTGCAACCTCCCCATCCCTTGGGATGGTGCCTGGGATGGAATGGGCTCCAGCAACAGCTCCCTCTGGGAGAACTCACGGATCCAGCTCCAGGTCCCCAGCAAGGGCATTCCCTTGGGAACAGGATCATCCTGGAGTTGCACCCCCCGGAGGTCCCCAGCTTTGGGAATAGGATCATCCTGGAGGTCCCCAGCAAAGCCATCCCCAGCCTTGGGAACAGGATCATCCCAGAGGTCCTCACCCAGATCATCCCAGGGGGACAGGGCCCTGTCAGAGGCAGGTCTGGCATTCCCAAACCTCATCCCTTCCCATTTGGGGGGGGGAAGGGGAAACAGAGCAAAGGAAAGCAGGACAAGACCCATCATTTCTCCATGAGATGGTTGGAGCAACTCCTTGGAGTCTCCAGGGCCAGAGCTGGCATGGGGGACACAGGGACACACCGAGCCCATCCTGGGTTTCCCTGAGCCACAGGGAGCTCCCCCTTCCCAGAACTCACCAGTCAGGAGGAACCTGTGGGCAGCCAAGAGGAGCTGAGGGGATACCTTGACCTTTTGCTCGCTGACGGGGTCCTTGAAGGCCGAGAAGTCCCTCCTGTTCTTCTGGTTGGTCACGCGCTTCCGGCTGCGGTTGTCGACTGTGGGGGGCAGGAGTCAGCTCTGGGGGGGATGGCAGGACCCCTGGCACGGGGTGGAGGGAGGATCGGTCCAGAGTGGGTGGGAACAGCCCATGGGGGAACAGGAGCAGCCCATGGGGGGACAGGATCTCCCCACAGAGGGGGTCAGGATCTCCCCATGGAAGGACAGGATGATGGGAACGGGGGGAGCCCCAATACCTACTGTAGGTGTCAGACTCATCCAGGATCTCGGACTTGATGATCTCCTCGATCACATCCTCCAGGGTCACCAGCCCCAGCACCTCGTAGAAGGGATCCCCCTCCCCCTCGTTGTTCACCTTCTGCACAATGGCCAGGTGGGATTTCCCTATGGATAGACAGAGATGTTGGAATGGGAGACACCTCAACACCCTGGGATGTCCCTGGGCCCGGCCCTTCCCTCCCCAGAGCAATAAACCAGTTCAAATCTAACAATAAACCAATTAAAACCTAAACCAGTTCAAATCTAAACAAGCCCTTGGGCCGGGCTTGGCTCCCAGGGTAATGACACTAATTAAGCCCAGGGTGGTGATTAAGGCTGGGACTGAGGCACCCTCCAAGCTGAAGTACCTGGGAGCTGCCTTGGGATGTGGGATTGGCCAAGGGCATCCCAGGGGATGGGATGAGACAAGAGCAACCATGTCACCACCACCACGGCCACCAGGAATTGTGTTTCACCCAGAATTCCTTTCCCAAATTCTTTGGCAGCTCTTCCAAGCTGATCCTATCCCAGAGGAAACGCTCTGGACACCTGGTGTCCACCCGATCCCAGAGCTAAAACACCCCAGGGAACAGAGCCAAGGGCCCTGGCCAGCAGCAGTAATGTCCTTCCAGGCAGGAAAACCTTCCAGTCCTGGATTTAGGGCTCCCCTCATCCCATTCCAGCAGGATTCCAGCTAAATCCCAACCACTGAAAGTGCATCATCCTGCCCCAGCTGCTCCATGAAATGGAGTTTCTCCTGCTTTGTCCCAAAATCCCGCAAAACCAGCAGAAAAAATTCCTAGGATGTTTCCACTTCCACATGGAAAACTGGTATCCTTATCCTGGGGAAACTGGGGCTTGGAGAGGGCAACATTCCCTCCCTGACCTCAGTGCATCCCAAAATAAAGGCACTTTTACCTTCTCAAGGCCTACACGGGGTGTCCCACTTGTGTCCTGCTCTGGCATTATTCCAAACCTGCCCTTCCTGACTCTCTCCACTACTTAATTTTAGAGCTACAGGCCCCTCATCACTCAGGGAAAGGGGAATTTTAGGGATGGGCACCACACAGATCTCCTTTTTCTCCCCCTCTGGCCACGCTCCTTCCAAAGCTGGAAAAAGGTGGTGCCTGAAGGGGTGGGAATGCCCAAAAATTGTTGTTTGGGTCATTAAACCCCCTTTATGGCCCTGTTTGACACCTGGGTGGGGCGTGCTGGGGACAGGTGACGGGACTGGGGCCGGCCCAGGTGAGTCAGGAGCTGCTCCCTGTGGGATAAGCAGGACAGGGAGCGGCCCCGGCACAGCAAACACAGCCCGGGGAGCCCAAACCCACAGGCAAAGGGCACCTGGATGGGCATCACCAGGGAGTGATGGATACTGGGACCCCCTTTGGGGCTCCCCACAGGAACAGGGAGCTCCCCATGGGGTGTTCTTGGAATCCTGGAATGGTTGGGAGGGAACTCAAAGGCCATCCAGTGCCATGGGCAGGGACACCTTCCACTATCCCAGGTTGCTCCAAGCCCTGTCCAACCTGGTCTTGGACACTTCCAGGGATGGGGCAGCCACAGCTTCTCTGGGAATTTCATCCCAGCCCCTCCCCACCCTCACAGGGAAGAATTCCTTCCCAATATCCCACCTAAATTCCTCCTTTGTCCTGTCCCTCCATCCCTTACTCAAAGTCCCTCTCCAGGTCTTGGAGCCCCTTTAGACTCCGGAAGGGGCTCTAAGGTCCCCCTGGAGCCTTCTCTTCTCCAGGCTGGACATTCCCAGCTCACCCAGCCTGTCTCCATAGGCAAGTTCCCCACTTAAAAGCCTCACACCAAGAGGAGAAAGTTGGGAAGAGGCCAGACATGGATGTGGAAACTATCACCCCAAGGCCAGTGACTGTGACAACAGGAGAGTTTTGGCTGCCAAGCCCCACAATTAGCACAACTAGTTAATTATTCCCTCTGGATGCACCTCTCGTGCCTGATCCAGGGGGATGAGGCAGATCCTCACCATGGAGCTGCATCCATGAGGAATGTGTGGGGCTCAGCTCCAAACCAGCCCCACAAATTCCCTTCTCCTGACCCGGTAGTGGAAAAATAAGAGCCCTGGGTGTTATGGGCGGCTTTGAGCCCGGAAGGAACGTGGTTAAATCCCTTAATCAGGATCCAACGAGGGAAAGCTGCTGCCAGGAGCGGGGATAACTCCAGATCCGGCAGCAACTCTGCTCCCATGTCCTGCTTTTTGGAGCTGGACTGGGGTGGGACAGCCCTGGAGAGCCAGGCTTGGATGTGCCAGCTCCCAAAGCCTCACCCAGGCTCCAGGAGGGATTAGGATCCCCAAATCCGTGCATGATCTCCCGGGAATGTCCTGCGAATCTCCTGGATCTGCTCCTGGTGCTCTGGAAAGTGTAACAGGAGCTGGAGAGTGTGTGGGATCATGGATGGCCTGGGATGGTGCAGGATCACCCAGCACCGCTGCTCCAGAGCTGGGATCTTCCCTCCATCCTGGCCCCATGCAGGAGCTGGGCAGGGAAGGAGGTCCCTGCCTGGGCTGGAAAGGCCTGGGGAGGGCAAATCCTTCCTGGGAGCTTTGCTGTGCCTGGTGGGTTCATCCCACAGCAAGCTCACATCCCACTCATCCTCCCAATCCCACTTTTTGGTGCCCTGATGCCACGAGTGGGAGGAAGAGCAGGGATAGGAGCCAGGACAGAGCAACCCTCACCATTCCCAAGTGTCAGGAAGAGCCTGGAAGAGGGAGCCAAGCCCAAAATCAGGGACCAGAGTGATTCCCCAGCCGTTATCCAAAAGCCTCCAGGGCTGATAATCAAAAACAAGGAAACACTCCCAAAGCATTCCTGGAGGCAACACCGGGTTTGGTGACCCCCTGTCCATCCCTAGGTGGCCTCAATCCCTCAGGATCACAACCACTCAAACCATGAGGAACCCCAGGGAGGGCAAAACTCCCTGGAATTCTGCCTCCAGCTGGCAGGAACCAGCGACCCCTCTACCTTTTTTGAACTCCTCCAGCATGGCATCGAGCTTGGTGTCATGGAACACAACGTGCACAGGGTGGTTGTAAAACTTGGTGATGGTCTTGAGGGCAGTGCAGTCATCGGGGTCCACGAAGGCCAGGTCCTGCACGTAGAGGATGTCCATGATGTTCGCCCTGTCGCCCTCGTAGACGGGGATCCGGGTGTACCCGCTCTGCATAATCTCAGACATAGTGTTGAAGTCCAGGACGGCATCGCTGCTGATCATAAAGCAGTTGGGCAACGGGGTCATCACGTCCTCTACGGTCTTGGTGCGCAGCTCCAGCGCACCCTGGATCATGTTCAGTTCCTCCTTGACCAGATCATTGAAAGACTCCGTCACCTTCAGCATCTCCAGGAACCTCTCCCGGTTGTAAACGGTGCTGATCTCTTGGCCCAGGATGCAGTCCAGCAGTCTGCTGATGGGGTAGGACAGGGGCAGCGTGAGCAGCATGAAAAACTTGGTCACCAGAATGGTCTTGGCACCCACAGCCAGCCCGTGCCGGGAGCACAACGCCTGGGGAACAATCTCCCCGAGGATCACGATCCCCACGGTTGAGGCCACCACGGCGCCTACGCCGGAGCCAGTCAGGTCATCCAGAAGGATGGTGAGGGTCGTGTTGACCAACACGTTGCCCAACAGCAGCGAACAGAGCAGGTAGTTTCCTTTCTTCCGTATGGGGCTGATCCTGCGGGCATAGCGTCGCTCCTTCTCCGAGCCGCAGTTCTGCAGGATGCGGAGCTCGATGGGGTCGAGTGCCATCAGCCCCAGGTTCAGCCCGCTGAACATCCCGGACAGCCCCAGCAACGCGGCGATGAGAATCACCTGCAGCCACAGCGGCAGCAGGGACTTCTTCTCTTCCAGGACCACCACCTGCCCATCGGGTCCCTGGTGCGGCAGCCAGGGCTGGTCAGGCCGGCGCTGCGAGCACAGCACGTAGGCCTTGGCTTTCTCGTGCTTGCGCAGGGGCAGCACCCGCAGCCACAGCAGCGCCGAGGTGTCGCGGGGCTCGGTGGGGCCGGGCCGCACCAGCAGGTCCTGCGAGCGCTCCCCGCACGTCTCGTTCACGGCCGGGATGGCATCCGGCCTCAGCTCGGCGAAGGCCACACGCTCCGCGGCTCCCGGGCCCAACCCCAGCCCGTAGAGCCGGAGCAGGGCCTCGCTGCCCTCCGTGAGCCGGATGGGCCCCGGAGCCACCCCGGCCACGGGCTCGGGAGGTTTCGTGCTGCCTTCCAGCCGCAGCCCCAGCACTACGGTGTCGAGGGCGGGCGTGGCGAGGGCGGGCTGCGGCAGGAGGAGGAGAAGGAGGACCGGCGGCAGGAGGAACCCCGTGGGCAGCGGAGCCCCCGCGGAGGGACCGGAGCTCCCGGGGCCGCCCCCGGCAGGGCTCCCGCAGCCGCTGCCGCCCGCCATGTTGGACACTGGCGGGACCGGCGCGAGTAGGGGGCGGACACGGCGCGATGACATCATAGGGGGCGGGACTATCGACACGCCCCATGGGGAGCAAATAGGAAGACCACGCCCATTTTGTGGCGTAATGCAAAAGGACACGCCTCCATAGGAGATCACACAGCGACACGCCCCGTTCGTGACGCCTGCACATGGACACGCCCCTGCGGGTCAATTATCGGGACACGCCCCGTTCGTGACGCCTGCACATGGACACGCCCCTGCGGGTCAATTATCGGGACACGCCCCCAATGGTGACGTCACGCGGCGCGACACTCTCCCCGGGCAGCAGCGACTCCGGTCACGTACCCTGAGGGAGGAAAGATGCGGGGATAAGCCCCCGCTGTGACGTCACGAATAGAAACACGCCCCCTCGGGGAATCGCTAGAGGGACACGGCTCGGTTGAGACGTCCCACACAAGACCACACCCTCTCGTGGAGTAACTCTCGGTCACGCCCCCGATGACGTCGGCCAGAACGCCACGCCCCTGCTCGGGGAGCCACACGACTGACCACGCCCCCCACACGGCACGTGCTGGGTCACCCCCCTGGAATGACGTTATTCGCTCAAACCACGCCCCCGAAGGCGGGAGAAGGGTGGCACTAGAAGCTACAGTGGGCACTAGGACCTGGAGGGGTGGGGGGCATTAGGACTCGGGATGGGGTGGCACTAGAGCCTGGAGGGGGTCACAAGGAGCTGGTGGGAGAATAGCACATGGGAAGGCACTAGGGCCTCTAGGGTGGGGGCACAGGGACCTGGAGGGGAGTGGCACAAGGTTCTGGGGCGAGGGGAGCATTAGAACCGGAGGGGGGGGGGGGCACTAGGACCCGGGGCTGCAGGTCCCACATTACCTTCCGCTCTCAGGCGCCCAGAACTACATTACCCCCCACTGCCCGCGCGCCTCCCGCCCTCCCAACTGACAGACAGCCCTCTTCACCAACCATCCTCGCTGAACGCCCCAGTGGGCGGGCACATTGGCTCGGGGCAGCCAATCGGCGCGCGGGGAGGGGCGGCGGAGGGAAGATGGCGGCGGTGGAACGGTGGCGGGCCGGGATGGCCTTGCTGGCCCTGCTGGCCTTGGGGTTCGGCCGGGTCCGGGCCGAGCAGACCGAGGAGCACCTCAAGCGCGAGCACTCGCTGTCCAAGCCCTACCAGGGTGAGAGGGCGGGCGGGTGGTGAGCGGTGCACGGTGCCGGTGCTCCGGTACCGACGATGCGTGTGGGCCCGCAGGTGTGGGCTCGGCCAGCTCGGGGCTGTGGGACCTGCTGGGCAACGCCATGGTCATGACCCAGTTCATCCGCCTCACCCCTGACGTGCAGAGCAAGCAAGGAGCCGTGTGGAACCGCGTGGTGAGCGAGGGGCGCCGCGGGGGCACCGGGATGGGGGGGGAGGGAGGTAGGGGAGAGGGTCGGGACCGGGGGGACTCAGGGATGGAGTGTTGAGGGCTGGGGGAGAGGGTCGGGATCGAGACAGGAGGGGGCCGGGATTGGGGGTGACACGTTATGGGATCAGAGGAGAGGACTGAGATTGGGACAGGAGAGGGTCGGGACTAGGGGGACTCGGGGATGGAGTGGGGAGGGCTGGATGAGAGGGCTGGGACACAGCAGGCATCGAAATGACGGAATGATGGATATTGGTGAAGGAACAAGGAATGATGGATTTTGGTGAGAGAAAGGGGGAATGAGGGCATGTGGAGTGTTGAGATGGGCAGGGAATGGCATGGACAGTTCCTGTTGTCCCCTCACTGTTGGCAGGAGAGACCCACTAAATTCCCATTTTTCCCCTCTTTTCCAGCCCTGTTACCTGCGGGATTGGGAGATGCAGGTGCACTTCAAAATCCATGGACAAGGCAAGAAGAACCTGAACGGGGATGGCTTTGCCATCTGGTACACCAAGGACAGGATGCAGCCGGGTAAAATCCCATGGGAAGGGGTCAGAGCACACCTTGGATGGGCCTTGGAGCAATCTGGATTCATGGAAAAGATCCCTGACTGTGGCAGGGGTGGGACTGGATGGTTCTTAGGGTCTTGTCCAAGCCAAACCCATTCCATGACGATAAGGAACAAACCCTGCCTGGCATTTCCAGCCTCATCCCAAGGTCTCTCCTTCCTCCTAGGACCTGTGTTTGGAAGCAAGGATAACTTCCTCGGCCTGGGAGTGTTTGTGGACACTTATCCAAACGAGGAGAAACAGCAGGAGGTGAGCAGAGAGGGAGGAATGGGATGGGTTACACCAAGGTTATGGACACAGCTTTTCTTTGGAATCATAAATTCAACTCAGCTCCTGCTCTTCCTCCTTCCTCTGCTTTTCTACAGGGTTGGATTTAGTTCCTGGTGAGGGAACATGGGAGAAGCTGGGGGTGGTTTTGTGGGAAGCTTTTTCCCAGAAGAAGGGATTTTAGGGCAGGAAGAGCTGAGTTGATGGAGCTGGGAATTCTGCTGTTGGGGGCTGTACCAAGAGTAGGGGCTGAGTAAACCTTGAGTAAGGGCTGAGGAGCCTTTCCCTATTCTCAGGCGCCTCTTCGAAAGGTCTAAAGGGCCTCGTGTTCCTGATGTTGTTTGGGGTTTAGTGGTGTCATTCCCGTGGAAAAATAAGTGCAGAGGTGGATAAACCTGGACTATTCCCACCCTGTTATAGAATCATGGAATCCTGGAATGGTTTGGGTTGGAAGGGACCTTAAAGCCCATCTAGTGCCACCCTTGCCATGAGCAGGGACACCTTCCTTTAGCCCAGGTTGCTCCAAGCCCTGTCCAACCTGGCCTTGGACACTTCCAGGAATCCAGGAGCATCCACAGCTTCTCTGGGCAACCTGTAGCTGGAAACTTCCATCCCTCCAAACCCAAAGTTGGGTCTTCTCTCATTTCCAATTCCTCCTAAAAACCAGGTGATACTCTAACCCAATACTGATATTTTATGACCTTGAGTAACTCTCAGCTTTTATCACAATCCCCAAACCCACTGGCTCCGAGGCAGGGATGGACTTTGTGCTGGGAAAAGCCTTTCCAAGCTGCTGGATTAGCGAAGTGTTGGATGTATCTTTGGATTTGTAGAGTGGCAGCTCTGCTTTTATGGGATAAAGTGGCACACAACACGTCTTAATTAGAGGGAATAACTAGTGGAATGTGGGTGACACAGAGCAGGAGCCGGAAGGGGGTCAAGCACCAAGAAAAACTGTTTCTGTGGGTTCCGAGCTGCTCATTCCCACTTTTGCAAGGACAAAAAAAAAAGGATTTTATTCCCGAGGGAAGCTTGGTTGGGATTCCCTGTGGGGCTGTGGGGGTTCAAGGAGCGACTCCATCCGTGGTCTTGTGACTCCATCTTGCCTCCTGGCGCTGCTTCCATGCCGTATATCCCGGGATTTGGTACTGACACCCCCCCCCCCCATGCTCCCAGTCCTGGGAAGGCAGGAGGTGCTCCAGGAGGAGGTTTCCCGGGATGCAGGGCCCTCCTGGACTCTGCCCTGTGACCGTGTTGCTCTGTGCTCTCTCTTGCTTTGCGCTCATTCCGGAGGGCAGGCTCAGAAGAGGAGGTACAGCCCAGGAAACCAGGTACTGGCTCCTGCTCCTCAGGGTTCCAGGGCAAGGAATTCCCTCCCAAGGGCTCCAGGAATCCCTGTGGGAGCCGGGAGGGACTGCATGGAATGTGTGCTCCATCCAGGATCTCTGGGAGCTGAGGCTGAGCCTTGGGGATGGAGTGGGGTCATGGTGGTGTCTTGTGGAGCAGATTTTTTGGGAGTGAAGGAGTTTGGGGCTAGGGATGGAGCAGGGTCATGTTGGTGTCTTGTTGAGCAGATTATTTGGGATGGAGTTTGGGGTTAGGGATGGAGCAGGGTTGTGATGGTGTTGTGTGGAGAAGGTTATTTGGGATGAAGGAATTTGATTGGGGTGGAGTTCAGGGTCAGGGGAGGAGCAGGACCATGCTGATGATTGTTGAGGCAGATTCTTGGGGAGTGATGAAGGAATTTGGGGTCAGGGGTGGAGTGGAATCATGTTGAGGCAGATGGTTGAGGTGGAGTTTGGGGTCAGGGATGGAGCAGCGTAGTCCTGATGTTTTGTGGAGCAGATCCTTGGGGTTGAACAAGTTCAGGTCCAGGGGGCTGCTGTGACTCTTGCCTTTGGAGATGCTCCGGGGTCCAGACTCCCTTGTCAGACCCCAAACTCACTCCCTGTCCCCCTGGCAGCGGGTGTTCCCCTACATCTCAGCCATGGTGAACAATGGCTCCCTGACCTACGACCACGACCGGGACGGACGCCCCACGGAGCTGGGGGGCTGCACGGCCATGGTGAGGAACTTGCCCCACGACACCTTCCTGGTCATCCGCTACGTCAAGAGGAGGCTCACGGTGAGTGCTGCCCATGATGCCTAAAAACAGCACTTAAATAAACCCCCCAAAACTCAATTTGTGAGTTTTAGAAGGTAGCATTTCCTTTTATTATGCCAAATATAATATATGTAATATTTATATATTATTACATTGATATATTAATATATTAATTTTACGAGAATCTAATTTCTTCCAAAGCATGCATGCAGTTACCAAAGCCTCTTGCTTTTATTTAGTTATTTATTTTGTTTATTATTTAGTTAATTTAGTTAATTAGTTAATTTATTATTTAGTTTATTTAGTTAGATAATTTATTATTTAGTTACCTGATTAATAATTTAAAGCATTACCTAATACTGTTACACCCACTTCCAAAACCATCCCTCTCATAGTACCATCTTTGCTCCACCCCTGACACACCTCCTGAATTTGAGTCGGAGGTCTCAAAGACCCTTGATCTTCCACTTCCTTGTTTCCTTTGGCACAGTATCAGCCTTCTGGAAGGGTTTCAAGGCTTCTAAATAGCTTCGACTGCTTATATCAAGTGTTATGTGTCTTTCTCAGCACATTTTTACAGACAGAGAACTCTCCTCCTCATTAAAATCCCTCATCTGTTGAAATTCTTAACAAAGAACGTAAAAACAGTG